ATCGACGGGGGTTCGATTCCCCCCTGACGCAAGCCCGGCTCGCGGGTACATCGGGTACCCACTTGTTTCACATCTAAATGAACCCAGGCTGGAACGCACCAGGCGAGCCGGTGCAATCACGTTTTTGCATAAAAACTTTGAAGTACCGTTCCTCACAGAGGGGGAATAGGGAAGAAAGAAGGGAGTCCCACATTATGCCACCATTCAGCTGAGGACGCGGTCTGATCGTGAATTAACGGCCCATCGCTACTCCGCACAATGACCAGGATAACTCCAACTTCCTAGCTTTCTCAGTTCTGGAGGTGAGGTGAACTAGCACGCCCTCATTTCTAACTACCACTGCATTTCGCTGTTTCCCTCCCCTCTCTCCCCTTTCCCTCACGCCCAGGCCAGGATACCAACGACGTGGACAGGACCACCTCCGAGCCCCTTCCCCGCCTAATTCACGATTTGCCATTAGCACGTGACGTGAATTCAAATTTGCCGCTCATCGTAACTGATCGTAGCTGTACGCCAACTGGCCGCGCCGCGTTTGCAACGTCGGTTTGGGACACATCTCACTTACTTCTTACGCGTATCTACTGAGCAATTGCGCATAGTGTGTGCCGGGGGCGGTGTGTGGTGATGTGCGGCGTCTGTGTGTGGTACAGGGCGCCGTACGTGTATACAAATCCCTTACACACGAACATCCAAAAGCGAGTGCACTTCCCTCTCTCGGCATTCTACTCATTATCAAACCCGCATTTTCAGTGAATATCCGATCACAAGAAACAGTCCATTTCTCTTCAGGCAAGTTCACGCGGCCTCATGATGCAGAACTACCATCCCAGCCGATGGCCCTTTTCCCTCTGCATGCAAGAGAAAGCCAGAGCACACCCATCATATGCCCTCGTGTTAAACTGCAATACAGCAGCCATGGTGTCTGCCATCTGGCTGCTTAAAGTTTAGTGCATGATCGTACTGGCAAAGCTAGTACATCACTTTCTGGGTGTTGAAAATTTATTTTTTAGAAATTAACAAAAATTCATTAGTCAACAGCGTCAGTGGTGTAATGGTCAGCATGGTTGCCTTCCAAGCAATCGACGGGGGTCCGATTCCCCCCTGACGCAGACCTCGGTTACAAATCCGGGTACTCCCACATTTTGCACCCAAAATAAGCAATTTTGAAAAGAATTTTAATGGCGAGTTTTTGAACAGAGACGTTGGAAAGTTTTAAATGATCACTGCGTTCTCGCTATTTGCTTTGCAATTCCCACGCGATACCAACAGACTCTGATACAAATCTCGATCGCTGTGTGCAATGACCAAAAACAGCATAAAATGAGGAATGGACAAGCAGAAACTGGAATATAGATACATCTGAACGCCCTTCCAGTGGCAAACTTTAACGTGAGGAAATTTGACTTATCAGATTTGGTTGTTTAAAGTTTGCCATATTCGGCTCTAACCGATGCTATATTGCCGTTCACCCTGCTGTTGGCGATCCTGGTGTTCGTTTCATCTCCTGAAAGGACTATCAGCTGTTGAACACTGTTCAACTGAAACTTCGAAATTTTCCGGAAACGTAAAAAGAATATTGCAGCAAGTGGTAGAAAAAGTCAGCAGCTTGCCTGAGAGGCAATTTCAGAAATGAGGTAAGGCTTTGTTTACCTCAGTGAGTTGTTTCGAAATCATCTGAGTCTGCCGATAGCTGTCTTCCTGACAAGTTTTTATCAATAATTGTGATCCGG